AGAGAGTGGGAGTGTAGAGAAAGTTAAAGATGAGAGGCTGGAATGGAGCGGAATGCGAATGCAGTGCCTTTAATAATGCATCTGCTGCTCTTCTGCTCTCGTTCCCCTGGAATCATCTCGACTTCAACATCCTCCAGCTCGTTCCGTGCATGTGTGGTCCCAGAGCCCTCCCGCTGGCCTGAAGTTCATCTGTAACGCTACAGCACTCCGCTAACACATGGCCAACGTACTTTAAAGGGTTAGCTCACCAAAAAAAAAAGAAAAAAGAAATGAGGATTCTGTCATCATTTACTCGCCCTCATGTCATTCAAAACCCGTATGATTTTCTTTCTTCCGTGGAACGTTTTTTTGGAGCTTGACAGCCACCATTATGGAAAAGAGGCCTCTGGATGTTCTGCAATAGATCTTCATTTGTGTTCCACAGAAGAAATAGTAAAAAAAAAAAAAATCCATTTGGGGTTGAACTATTCCTTTAATATACAAAATCCTGTGTTATATTAGTATCATTGATATACTATTATAGCTTTTGTTTTTGTTTATTAGTTTCATTTTTAACCTCATGGGGTCGACAGGACTTTTTGCAGATTTGAATGTTGACAGCGAAAAGAACTAAAATGCTCCTTCATACTTGATCGTACATATAAGAGTAATACAGCATTTTGTCAGGGCATGTCAAAACTTTTCCAGGCCCCAAAACACCCTCGGATGGTTAAATATGCCTATTTAGTATTTATTAATTTTTATTTATTAGTTTTACTTTATTTAGTATAATTTTTTAGTACTTATACTATAATTATACTATAAAAATAAGATTTTTTTTATTTAGATAACAGTAATAACCCTGTGACAATCATGCAATAATTTTTTTCAACATTTACATTTTTTTTTGCAAGACGTTAGACAAATAATACAAAATAATTATACATAAAAGTAAAGTATAATATGCGGTTATAAAAGAGTAAAATATAAGGTTTCTTTTATATTTTTTCAATACTGTTAAAATTCTTTTGCAAGGATTTGATACAAATAATATGAAAGAATTATACATAAAATTAATGTATATACAATTTGCTTTGCAACTAGCAAAAATAAAATGAATAAAATTTTGTATATTTTATTTTTGTCACGTTTATGGACAGTTTTTATTTTGTTTTCCCTGTGTTACTGCCTCCTGTTTCTTTATGCCCTTATTTGGTCCTTCCGGTTCCTGTCCCCATTTAGTTCTATTTGTTCCAGGTGTTCCTTGTTATTAGTTATCCTCCTCACCTGTCTGCCCCTCGTTATCTGCCCTATTTGAGTTCTAGCCCGTTCTGTTCTCCCTTGTCCGGAATTGTATATGTCTACCCTTGCTACGTGTGTCTTCCTGGTTCCCTGGATATGATTAAAGTCTATGGGCCTGTTTACGGTTTGATTTGTTAAAACGTTTCCATTTACACTTGGCCACATAAACGTATCGTCGCAAAACGGATATAAATCCAATCTTCAATTCCCTCGAATGCCACCCTCCGCGCGTCAGTAGCCCCCCGGGATCGCTTGATCGGTCGGTGCCGGACCGCGAATTTAACCATCCGTATCGCTATCGACATGGGGGTGGTCTCATTCGAAAGCGGGTCTCTAGACGTACACTCGATTCGCATTCGAGAGGGTTCCTCGAGCTGAAGGGATCCCCCAAATTTGGTGCGGATTCGCCGTGCCGTTATGGAGATATGGCCGTTCAAAGTTTTAATGGTTTTCCATAGATTTAAGCTTTAAAGCGTTTCATCCAGGTCGCCAGTAGGAAACAAACTAAGTAATTACACAATTTCAAGCATTTTATCTGCGTTATATGTTCTGTAAAAAAAATTTCATATCGGCGGCATATTCGCCGATACCGATATATCGGCGACAGGCTCATATCGGCAAAACGATATATCAGTCAGGCTCTAGTCATAACCCCTCAATTTCCAGTTTTGTTTTGTAGAAAACATGGAAACACCAAAGACGCTTTAATATGTTGTTCGTTTTATTAGACCGGTGATGACCGCACAGAGTAGTATAATAACAGAACTTTCAAATGTATCTAGTATGATAAAACAGAGCTGCTTTTTTTCCCCACATACGCATGACCGGAAGGAGCGGAAGCGGTCGACTGTGGCATAATAAAAGCTCCGCTGCTTTCGAGCCGTGTGTCGCCCTCGTTCAGTGGCCTCGTTTCGCTTCGACGGCTTTCAGCCTCACCCTGCTTCATTCTACTACGTTAACAAATCATTAGCTCATCCATGAACATGATTTCTGCCCGAGTCCCGTCGGATTGCATCGGCTGTGGGGATGAAGACAACTCCCATGATTCCACACTCAGTCACGGCATCATCAAACTACGCCTTTGCTCTTTGTTTATTTTGAATACGCGCCCTCCAGCGGTGAAAATTACATATTGTGCCTTTAACACGAGGTTTCAAAAATAATGCATATATAATAATTATACAAGAATTTAAATAAAATAATACAAAGTAATTATACAAAATATATGCAGTTGTCTTGACTAGCTGAAAAAAGTTTGATTATACTTTATTTCAGTTAACTTTAATTTTAATGTAATACATTTTTTTAATTAAGTAATTTTCTTTTATATTTTTCAACTATTTAAAAAAAATGTTTGCATTTCATTGGTTTCATAAATAAAACATGTATAAAATTTATCCAAGAATTCGATACAAATTATACTAAATAATTATACAGGAATATAATGTATATATGCAATTGGACTGGCATCTAGCTGAAATAAAATAATAATAATAATAAGTTTTTTAATATTTTATTTCAGTTAATGTTTATTTTATTTAAAACATTGAATCCTTTTTTTGTAGTTTTATTTAACCCTGTGATGATCGTGCAACTAACTGTATACGTGTCACAAACTCAAATGTTGACAACCAAGACAGACTGTTCCCGTCAGAAACCGCAGGAGGCAGATGAGCCTTTGTTGAGCCACTTAAGAAAGATGATTTGATCTTCTTAGCTTATCGTTCTATTAGACGAGCACCATTAGCGATCTGCAGGGGATTCCTGTGCCCCCCGCCACACGCTTGGAGATCTGCTTCAGTCAGTCAGGCTGCTGGAATCCTGTCGCTCTTAATCAAACCAATTACAACACACTGGGCGTCAAATACCACAGCTCCTTAGCATGGTGACATTATGCACAAAGACGGCTGCTTTACGAGCGCTCTATAAGCTGACGGGGCCAATCTGCCTCATAAGAACTCTTCGTCTAAAGCAATACCTCATATGTCAACACAGGTGTTGAGTTACACAAACTGCGGCGGTAAACATAGACTCTAGAGGATGTTTCCATTCTCCTTGGATAATGAGTGTTCGGTGCATCTGGGTCAAAGCGTCACGTCGCATCTGCACATCTTTCTTTCAAACCGGTGATTCAAGGCCACAAACTGCCACACCAGATCAAAATGAAAACATGCCACACTTTATTTGGAGTTACGCAGGTCAAAGGTCATGCTTTTGAGGAGAAAACCTCTCTTTTGAGAATTCAGACCACAGTAATTTTGTCAAAACGATTCAACCTTTCAGAAAAAAGCCACAGGTGTGTTTTGTCATTGTCAGCCATTTCTTCAGCCCGTGTTAATGTCTGAGGGATTTTAACACGTTGTTATGGCTCACAGAGACAGAATTAAAAGGATTCAAAGATGCCTTCATCCTAAAATCCAGTGAAAGATGTGGACAAGATCCAGGTAAAGTCAAAGATCTGAAGAGTTGACTGAAGAGAAGTGAAGTGAGTGTGCACACATGAGTTGTTCTCAGTCACTCTAAGCCTGTGCAATTTGACTCGCATGCAAACTACCAAAAAATAAATAAATAAATAAAAAACAGGTTCAAGTTCATACAGGGCTAGTTTATGACTGCATGAGCCAGAAAGATCATATTATGTTCGAATGTTTAGTTAACATGATGGACATGAAGTTATATGCCCTTTGTAAAAGAAACATAAAAGATTTCATTATGCAGTAATATAAGGTTTTAAATAACCAAAATGTCGAAATTATTACGTTTTAATTTTAGAAGAAAATGATTGTTATATCAATAATTATGATTATTAATATTAACAATAATCCATTAATATATATTATTTTCTAATACCTTGATGTTGAAAAAAATGTATATTATTATTAATAATTGTATTTATTAATAATAATAATAATAATAATAATAATACATAAATGACAATAATACATTATAATTTTATTTCAATTATTTTCAACAAATTGGAGTTAAAAAAATTATATTAATGCATAATAAAAATATATCTTTTAGATACTGGAACTGGTCACTATCTTATATTTTTCAACATTTTTCAAAATTTTTGCTATTCAGCATTAATATGAGGTTTCATAATTAATGTATAAAAATAATTGTACAAGAACGAAATACAAATTATGCAAAAGAATTATGCAGAAATTCTATTTAAAATAGTTTCATGTCAACTATTTTAAATAGAATTTCTGAATTTTCTGTCAATAAAATATAGATTTTATACAGACTATGCTTATGTTCACAAATACCATACCACCCAGACTAGTTTTACATTATGTATACTATGAATCTGTGTGCATGAAGTATGCAGCTTTGCGGTATAAAACCTCAAAACACCCTATGGAAAATAATTCCCAATGTGACATAATCAACTTGTCAAAAAAGAAAAATAAATTAAATATATATATA